AAAACCTTCTTATCGATACACTTTATGTTCATTATAATTTCGAAAGCTCTTAGATGGAAGTAAGGGTTATCTGTTGCCTTGAATTTAGGGATGTCAGTGGCGTTGAACTTATGTGGAAGAAGTTCCTTGTCCAGCGAGACCCCTTGTGAACTCATGCCCTGAAATTTATAGTCACTGGATAGCTTGCTTAGACTCTCTTGCATGAGGTTCATTTGTTGTTGCTTCACGGGATCATTAATCTTGAGTGTGAGTAGCTTCAATGTCTCAGTCATGGTAACCAATTGGTTCCTAAGCTCATTGACTTCTTCTTGACTTTCCATTATCTTTTTATCCTTCCTCTTTTGACGAATCAGTTTATCAAAAAGTGAGACTTGAATAAAGAGGTTGTCCTTGATTAATCGCCCTTCTCTCCTCGACCAAGTACTGTGGAAAAGGAAATTGGGGATATTTATTGTTAATTATTTGACTCAAGCTTTATTCAACATGAAATGGGTGGAGTAAATGAAGAAAGATTGGAATAAAATGTGAAGAAAAATGATGGAGATGGATAGAATGTACCCCCCAACTCAAGTGACGGAAAAAACCGACTCATGCATGAACCTAAGACGTGCTCATGGTGACATATACTCAAAGTGTGTGCTAAGACTAGTGAGTGTAAGTGATATGTTAAGACTCGTTTCATGACCATGTGGCTAGACTATGTGACTAGACTCAAGCAAAGACTAAGTTAAGACTTTACGTATATGCATTAAACTTGACAGACTGTGGTATTTTACTCATAACTTTTTATCTGCGACTCTGATTTGGACGAAATGAACTCCACATTAACTATAAAACTTGGGGCTACAGATCCATAGGTTGTACGACTCGTAGTTCTTTCTAGACCTCCAGCTATGACCAAAACAAGTTGACGTTTGTGCAGTATACGGGAATAAAAATCCGGGTTGACTTAAAGGAACTATGACTCGATTTTATGTTTATTTATTAGCTCAAATTAATTAATTAATTAAAAAAAGTCCTTTAGTCATTAATCTGTTTATTTAGTTTTGACACAAGTCAAACAAACGGTTAGGAAAAATCACATAGAGTATGCACAACAAATAATGCACAATTAGTCAAGTAGGCACAATATGATGCAATGAGTTTGCAACCTAACCATGGCTCTAGTTATCTAATGTTCGGGATATAGTTTAGTCAATAGAGGGTCCATGGTTAATTTTCCGGATGCATCGCGCGGAAGCCTAACCGTGAAGGGTTGGCGCGAGTGCATGGGACACCGCGAGCTTTAGAAAAAACTCGCTTCCATGGTTTGGTGAATTCAACAATCTCGGATATACCCTTTGTTGCACGGAGCGTTTAATCGGGTATATGGAGCATGAATTCCCGGATGGTTATGTCCATATGTAAAACACATATGGGTTTCAGAAAAGTGAGAAAAAATTCAATCAGGAAGTAGGATCGAGCAAACAATACGAAAAACCGGTCGAAATTAGAGCGCATATTTCTGGTTCGGTATTGGGGGAAGTTGGCGCCAGCAATCAGAGACTGGCGCCAACTTTTAAATGTAGCACCTGGCGCCAGTACTGGCGTCTAGCGCTACGGCTAAAATGCTGGCGCCAAGCTCTGGTCATTGGCGCTACTTCCCACATGCCTCAGCAACTTTCTGTGCTCGATAAAATTTTCCAGTTTCGCGCGGTGTTATTTCGGTCCTAGTTGTGAAAGATATTTCTCAAATTTCCTACGTGTAAAATCCTATGTTTTTAACTCATTACCGATGGTCTTTCCAATAAGATCTATTTTATTCATATGACAATAATGTTAATCAAAATTACGCACATGAAATACTTGGAACGTTTCGAGTCTCATCCACTCATTCTAAATCATTGCCGAAACAAATTCAGGAATTAAAATAGAAATCCTCCCCAGTGGAGTCGCCAAAAACTGTAGGGAACAAATTTCAAGCGTTAACCCCTAGCTTGAACCCCACTGTGATCATACACTAAAGTACGGTGGCGTCCAAAAGGGAAAGAAGATAGAGCAAAAGAGTCGCCAACAAGTTTTAAGAACTTCTAAACCATTCACAGGGTGAAGGTTACACCCCTTAACGATCCAAGAGATCGTCAACTCCATAAGGTCTAAAACCAAATAAGGGTTCGGGGATGAAGGTACAAATCCAACCTAAAAGAGATTGAACCTGCCCTAATAATAGGCCTCTACATTATTCTGATCGTATTCATGTGCGCTTTTTAATTAACATCCAATCAATAGGATTAACCCTAAACCTGTTTACCTATGTTGGCTGAATATAATGCACAAATAAATCTATTATTGGCGTTCACTTGAATTATAATCAAATTAACCCTAACAGGATTATTAATATCTTATTAAGCATGATTACAAGTACTAATATTCCCTTTAAACATGCATAAAAGGCATGATCAAGCAATAAAAATAAATAATCAAGCAACATAATAATATATCAATCATGAATAATAATTATTATAATAATAATAATAATCATCATAAATTATAACAATTATATTCATAATCATGTTCATGTTAATATTAAAGCATAATAATAATAGCAAGATCCTAGGCATGATACTAGCAAGATTAATAACAAACCCTAGCATGTCACTAAGCAATAAAAATCAAATCTTTAACCCTAACATGATACTACCAATCATAAATATTAGGAAGAACATAGGAAGCATCGTAACAATCATATTTAATAATAAATTCACCCTAGACATGATACTAGGAATATCATAATAACAATATAAACATGATTTCTACATCATAATATCAATAAATCAATTAAAGTACTTACTTTGATGCTTCGTACCTCTTTCTAATAACAAAATACAAACTTAGTAACTTGAAGGAAAATAATAATCAAACAACAATTAAATAATTGAAATAGAGATTTGGGACCAAACCCTCAGAAATTAAACCTTTCACGTCTAGGGCGAAGGCAACTTCGAATCACGTCTAGGGCGAAGGCAACTTCAAATATGGCTAGGTGTTTCTAGATCTTGCGAATGCGGAATTTTATATGTAAAAGCAAAGTTTGAAAAAGAAAGAGAAAGAGATGAATGAATTAATTATAGAGGAGAATGAGAAAGGAAAATTGATTGTAGTTCAAAATTGGTTAAAACTGATTGTTGATGAGAATTGGTGAATGAAAACGGAGTTCTTAATACGTTATATATAGAGAAAATCAGCCAAAAAGATAAAATAAACAAAACAGAGTCTGACGCACAAGAAACAGAGCTGGCGCAAACCCTGGCTCATTGGCGCCAGGCGCGAATGGCTGGCGCCCAGGCGCCAATGCCTGGAGTCAGGCTCCAAGCCTGTTTTAAACGCGTTTTCGAAAATCAGATAAGTTTGCCGTACTAGAGGATAAAATCGTATATTTTCCTCAAAAATGCTATATGATATTAATTAAAACAAAGCTTTTTGAATCAAATGAAAGTCCAACACGTTGGGCTTGACTTTTCTCTTTTCTCTCTCTTCTCCAATGGCGATTTTCTGAGCTGGTCGCTTTGCTTAGCTTGATCATCAATGGCAAAGAAGAAGAAGCAATTTACTCCATGCCCTAATAATGCATCAAAAACACAAAAACAATCTATGCAAGTGTCGAATGATAGAGCATTAGGTGTTGTGACTTCATTTGGTCCTATCCCAGAGTGTGGTGATGAAGATCTAGTTACACCACCGCCTCATTCGGTTCACAAATCTGTTGGGATGATATCAAAGGCTGAACTCCGATTGCTTGAGATTCATCATCAATCGGTAATGGCTAGTCAATAGAAGAAATCGAATGAATCAGTCACTAGGCTCTCCCCGGTTACTTTTCCATTGAATCCGGTTGCTGATTCAAGCCCGATTACTGTTCCGGTGGATCTTACTCATTCAGTGAGCTTGATTCCATTTAAGAATCAAGGTAATCATCCATCTGAAGTTCCGGAAGGCGTGCGTGCAGGAGTTGAAGGGAAATGGGACGGGAAGCTTACTGCTAAATTAGCTCCTCTGTCTTTTGTTGCTCCGAAGGTTCACTAGGGTAAAAGAATTGCTCAATTGCAGGAATCTGAACTGAATGCAGGTAACTTGAGATGGAAGAATGCTATTGTGTTTTATGTTATTGGGTATTACCCTACTATTGCTTCTGTTCATAGATACTTTGTTGAGAACTGGAGTAGTGTAGGAAGACCTGATATATATTGGCATGATGATGGTTACTTTGTTATTAATCTGAAGTGTAAGGATGATATGAATATGATTTTATGTTCTGGACCCCATATGTTTTCTGGTAAGCCAGCTATTGTTAAAGCTTGGAGTTCCAAGTTTGATTTTCAGGCTGAAGTTCTGAGGACTGTTCCCCTATGGGTTAAGTTCCTCAATCATCCTTTAAACTGTTGGGGAGTGGACACTCTTAGTAGAATAGGTAGCCTGTTGGGAGTACCTATTTGTGCAGATGAATGTACTACTAGAGAGATAAGGGTTTCTTTTGCTAGGGTGTTAATTGAGGTTGATATAACCAAAGAATTACCTAGTTCTGTTCTGCTTGAAAGCCCTAATGGTGAGATAATTGAATTAAAGGCTATTTTTGAGTGGAAGCCGCCTTTTTGTAAGAAGTGTAATAAGGCTGGACATGATTGTGCTGCTATTAAAAGTGGCAAGCAAACTCAAACTCAGAAACAAAAATCAGCAAGTAAGCCTCTAGCTCAGGAAAGGGTGTGGGTGCCTAAGCAGAAGCAGACTGTTCCTGCAGAAATCCCACCTGACCCTGAGCAGGTTCAATCTACTCAAGCTGTTGCTCCTGGTAATTTTAATACTGATGATGGCTGGAGAGTAGTGGGAAGGAAGAACAGAAGCAGCCACAGTGTCAGAAATTCACAGCTAATTGCACAATCTAGTGCTTTTTTGGCTCTCAATGTTGAAGATGGTGGGTTTTTCCTAAACACTGGCGGGGGTCAGTCAATACCCCCTCTTATTCTATGATCATCTGCTCCTGGAATGTCAGGGGTTTGAATGACCCTGGCAGGGTAGCTAATGTTAAAAGGCTACTTAGAAATCATTCAATTGAGGTCATTGGTTTACTTAAGACTAAGGTAAAGCAGGGAAAATTCAAGATTCTCCGGAAGAAGTTTGGGTTATCTTGGTCTTGGGTTGATAACTATTCCTGTTCTCAGAAAGGTAGGATTTGGGTTGGGTGGAATTTAGATGTTCTTAATCTTAGCTTGATGTTCTAACAGTTCATGAGCAGTTTATTCACTGTGTAGTTAGTCACAGAGATGCTACTGCTCCAATCCTTTGCACCTTTGTTTATGGTCTCCACTCTATACATGATAGGAAAGCTTTATGGACTTGGATTCAGAGTCTTGGTTTGTAGCAGAACCCTTGGATTTGTGTTGGGGGCTTCAATTCTGTTTTGTGTTCGGATGATAGAATCAATGGCAATCCTGTTTCAGATTATGAGGTGAGAGATTTTCAAAGTTTTGTTGATATTATGGAGTTTTGTGAGATTAAGAGCAAAGGCCTCTTTTATTCTTGGTCTGATAAGGCTCATGAGGGGCCTAGGACCTGTACTAGAATTGATAGGGGTTTGGTCAACCAGAGGTGGTTGGATATTTATGGGCATGTTGAGGCCTTTGATCTGAATCCTGCTCTTTCGGACCATAGCCCTGTCTTGATTGAGCTTTGTTCTGCTCCTTCTTCCCAAGGAAGGCCTTTCAGATTCTTGAACTGTATAGCAAAGCATGATCAGTTTCAAAATACTGTTAGGGATGCTTGGGGTAATGTTGTGGCTGGAAATGCTATGCTGAGAGTGTGGAATAAACTTAAAAATGTTAAAAGCAAAATTAAGGATTTGCATTTGAAGCATTTTGCTAAAACTGCTGAACGGCTTGAAGCTGCTCTTGTTGATTTAGATAGTATTCAGAATGATATTGTTGTTAATACTGATGATCCTGAGCTTCAACTTAAAGAGAATGAAGCCATTGCTCATGTCAAGTACTGGACTAGAATCCAGGAAAGTATTTATAAGCAGAAATCTAGAGTGGAATGGGTGAAACTAGGAGATGCTAATAATCATTACTTCTTTTCTATGATGAAGCAAAGGAACTCTAGGAATAGAATTGACTCAATTTAAAATGAGCAAGATGTGCTTCTTAAATATCCAAGTCAATTGGTAGCTAAAATGTGCAATTTTTATAAGAAGTTGCTTGGTGATAAAGCTGACTGGTTGCCTGCTGTTGGTTTGGTGACTATGAGAAAAGGGAAGCATTTAAGCTTTGCTTCTCAACAACTTTTGATTGCTCCTATCACTGATGCTGAGATTGACAAAGCTCTAAAAGGCATTGATGACTCAAAAGCTCCCGGGATAGATGGGTTTAATGCTTACTTTTTTAAGCAAGCCTGGAATGATGTTAAAGCAGATGTTTATGCTGGGGTGCAGGAGTTCTTTGATACTGGGATTATGCAGAGGCATTGGAACTGTACTACCATTACTTTGGTTCCTAAAGTTCCAAATCCTTCTTATGTGAAAGAGTTCAGGCCTATTGCTTGTTGTACTGTGTGGTATAAATTGATTTCTAAGGTGATAACAGCAAGATTAGCTCAGGTCATTGGAGAGGTTATTGATGATGCTCAGGCTGGGTTTATTCCTTGGAAGCATATTGGGGATAATATCTTGCTTGCTACTGAGTTAATTAAAGGCTATTCTCATAGATTCATCACCCCAAGGTGCATTCTCAAAATAAATTTGAAAAAAGCTTATGATTCCCTTGAATGGAGCTTCTTAAGGGCTGTTATGGAAGTGATGAGCTTCCCTAAGCAGTTTATTGATTGGGTTATGGGGTGTATTACTTTTGTTTCCTTCTCAATTCTCTTAAATGGGTTTCCTAGTGTTCCTTTTGATGCAAGGAAAGGGTTAAGGCAAGGAGACCCTATGTCTCCTTTTCTTTTTGCTATTAGGATGGAGTATCTCACAAGATGCTTACATGATTTGAAGTCTACTCCTGACTTTAATTATCATCCAAGATGTGAGAAAATGAGTATCACTCACCTTATGTTTGCAGATGATTTAATGATGTTTTCTAGAGCTTATTTGGTCTCTGTCCAGTTGCTTTTTCAAGCTTTTTAGAAGTTTTCTAAGGCTTCTGGCTTGTCTGCTAATTTGGATAAGAGTGAGGTGTTCTTTGGTGGTGTTAGTGAAGATGAGCAACAGATTTTAAGAGATGCTCTTGGTGTGTCCCAGGGCAATCTTCCTTTTAGGTATCTTGGGGTACCTTTGTCTTCAAAGAAGCTTACTATAAACCAATGTAGGCCCTTGGTTGAAAAAGTTACTGTTAGAATCACAAGCTGGACAGCTAGGCATCTCTCTTATGCTGGTAGGATCCAGATGGTGAAAGGGGTTCTTTTTGGGATCCAAACTTATTGGGCTCAAATTTTTATCCTTCCAAAGAAAATCCTTAAGGAACTTGAGGCTAGGTTTAGGGCTTTTCTTTGGACTGGAACAACTAATTTCTCAAGGAGAGCTCTGGTGGCTTGGGATACAGTCTGCTTGCCTAAAGTAAGTGGAGGGTGGAATGTCCTTTCTCTTCCAATTTGGAACAAAGCAGATGTGACTAAGTTACTTTGGGACTTGTCTCATAAAGCTGACAATTTGTGGGTGAAATGGGTTCATATCTACTACATTAAAGGAAAGGATTGCTGGAATTTCCCTGTTCCTAAGAAGTGCTCTTGGGTGCTTAGGAAAATCCTGCAGTGTAGAGAGGTTGTGGATAGTGTAGGAGGGTGGGGTAACTTTGTTCAAGGTTCTGTGATGAAGATTAGGAAGCTTTATGCCTTACTTAGACCCAAGAGTCAGAAAGTTTATTGGAGAAGACTGGTTTGCAATAATAGAGCAACTCCTAAAAGTGTGTTCATTGTGTAGCTTGCTCTTTGGAACAGGTTGGTGACAAAGGATAGGTTATTGACATGGAATATCCATTATGATCCTGTTTGTTTGCTGTGTTTGCAGCAAGCTGAATCAGTTCAGCAATTGTTTTTTGAATGTTCTTATGCTCAAAGAGTGTGGAAAGCTGTGTTAAAGGTTCTTCATTATAATAGGCAAATTCTGCAATTTGCTGAGGAAATCAAGTGGTTGATGAAGAATTGCAAAGCTAAGAAAGGGATGCTGATTATGGCTTTTGCTGAGACAGTTTACAGCATCTGGATTCAAAGGAACTCTGTTATTTTCAATGGAGTCTGCAAACCTGCTGAGGTTGCTGTCCGAGATATTGTTTTTAATGTAGCTTGCAGATGTAATGAGACAGACTGTGCTTTGCTCATTAGTTAATGTTTTTGTTTGTTGTGGTTATGGTGGATAGCCTGTTTGTTCAGTCCTGCTATGGTTATAGCTGAGTCTGGAAAGGGCTTTTGTTCTTTTTGCTGTCTTGTTCCCTGTTCTCTTTCACCCTTCCTAGAAGGTGGTCTTAGATTGGGGACAAGCTCAGGTTCTGTCTCTAGGGTGAACCCTTCCTAGAAGGTGGCATCTTAGGTTCAGGACCTGATTTGGGGTAGGTTGCCTGTTTCAGGCTTTGTAGTTTGGGGTTTGCAACTTAGCTCTTTGTAAGTTGTATTTCTTTTGCTTGTTTGGTAATAAAATGTTATTTACCAAAAAAAAAACTCTGAAAAGTCAACAAAAGTCAATTTATCAATGGTAATTGAATTAGGAATGAAAAGAATCTTCTAGAAGAATCTAGAAGACTAAAACCATTCCTTATTGCATTAGGAATGATAAATCATATTAGGCCCTCCTCTAGATCATTGGGCCGTACATAAGGCTCAAACCGGGCCCAGTTTGGTAAATTGGCCATAACTTCCTCCATATTCATCGGAATTGGGCTTATAATATATCGTTGGAAAGCTCTTGTCAAGCCCCATCCAACTACACTATTATTGGACCCATATCATGAACCAACCAAACTGGATTGGCTGTTTTCTTAAAATAAGTTTTCAAAAACAGAGAGAAGAGAAAAGAAATTAAAACTATCCGCAAAACTAGACTTTCCACACTTTCGCTTCATTCAATTATGATTCGACGTGAAAGGTACTCATCACCAGGTTTGGTTTTTGGGGAGACACAAATGGGTGTCTACACATGGTTGTAGAGAACGCCTTCAAATGGAATATTGGATTGTCAATAGGCTTGAACTTTGGAATATCAGCAGTGGAGAACTTTTTCGGAAGCCTGTCTTTCACATCCAAAGGAGCGGGAGGCTGTTCCACATAAGTGAAATCCTCATAAATCTTACTCATTTGTTCCTTCAATTTGTCAAGGGTGGAAACAGTGACCTTGTTTTGTTCCATGGTACTGACCATAGTGGTAAGGGTTTCCATCATGGCAGACAATGCCTCGATGGATTTGTTGATGTTCTCCATATCTTCCTTAGTATCCATTGAAAGGTGATAATTAATGTGGAGATGTCAAAGTTCTCTTTGAACGCCTCTTTGATTTAAGAGATTGTTGCGGTAATGACTAAAACCGTATTAATCTACCCCTGCTCCTTGCCCAAGTACTATGAAATAAAACAACTCACTTAATTGTTTGACTCATTTATCAAGATAGGAAAGGAAGGAAAAAAAAAGACATTTGAAAACAGGTGAGAAAAATTCCACTCATTTTTTTATTATGATAAAAAAAGAGTGCATGAACCTAGTATACGATCATAAACGACATGGTGCACGACTCGAGTCGGAACATAAAGAAAGTGTGTGGAATATACTTGACTCATGAGTGATTAAGTCATGTTGTTAGACTCGTGGTATGATCGTATGGCTAGACATGTTAACAATAACCAAAATGACTGACACGCGGACTAAATTAGCACGGAAGACCAAAATAGGGGCTGACTGGACTTAAACTTGGGCACTGTGTCACGGCACAACTGTCGTGTCACGGAAAACCTGCATTGTGGCGCAGTACAGGCCACCGTGACATGGTACTGATTTCCATGACGTAGCGTTTTTTGTTGTGTCACGATAATCAGATCCAAGTGTTTATGTGATTTTACCAGTTTTTTTTTTTTTTTTTTTTTTTTTTTTGTCTACTTTAGAGTTTGTACTAATTACCAAGTGAATATGGTCCATTGGCAGTTGTTAGTCATAAAATAATCCACCATAGACAAAAGAAAAATCGTTAAGGTTAGGAAAAAAATGACCAAATATGCACACATAGGACACGTAGGCACAATGATGCAAAGAACAGCTCACAACCTAAGGTCCAGTTCTATGTTCCATTATGGTTAGGTTTTTGTTTGGTGTCAAAAGGGTACCATGGTTTGAGGGTGTATGCCAACGTACGGCTTCGCGAGTCCGTGATTAAATCGAACTCGACTCCATCATTTGAGTGGATTTAAAAACTCGAATGAACCCTTATTGCCATGAGAGTATTTGGGTTGATAGAGCTTAAATCCCCCGAGGCTAAGACGAATGTAGAACACACACGTTTTTTCAGAAAAATCGAAGGAAGGTGACTATGAGAAGAGAAATAAAGCCACTGGAAGGATTTCACAACTGTCGCAACACGGTAGAATCCACCGTGTCACGGTTCCTGCACCGTGACACGGCAAGCTCTGCCGTGGCGCCCCAGTTAGGAAATCTGACTGGTGCCCCTATTTTCTTCGTTCACGACCAGGTTATCCAATTTTTCCTACGGGACAGACCTGAAATACGACATTAAAACGTCTATGCATGTGTAAAAAAGCCAATTTAATCACTTGAATATTTTCAAGAGTCTTTTAAGTTTCATCCACTCATCTTAATTAATTACCGCTCACTCAAATCAATAAATAACCAAGAATCCTCCCTAGTGGAGTTGCCAAATTGTAGGTGTCGTTCAAAGTGCGCCTACATTAAATCATGTGTGAATATTCTTGGCACTCATAGGAAGTGGGAATTGACGTATACGATTAGGGACAAATAAAGTAGGGAGCCTCCAACAAGTTTTTAAGGAACTTGTAAACCGTTCACGGATTATTATAAGGAAACCACGAGAAAGGGACAACGAAAGGCAACAACAATTGACCCCTGAAGGTTACACCCCATTCATAATCCTTGAGATTACTAACTCCATATGGTTTGGAACCACGAAAGAAGGATCGGGGA